TACAAGATTAATCCAGAAGTACATTTCAAAAAATCTGAACAGCTTACATTGCCATCATTGTCAATCATGCAAGCACAAAATAGTATACTTGTGCCTAGAGTTAGGTCAGCTATAAAGCTGATTCACTATTTAATTGACGATCTTGATGTCGAAATCTAAGCTACGAGAAGCTAAAAGGATCATATTTGCCCTGTTCTTGTCAAAACAAATCAATGTTCTAGGAAACCCAATTTTTTATGGTTCACATATGCTTGCAGTTAGTGATACTCCCTCTTTCTCAATATGTAAATAGTTTTAAAGAAAAGTGAAAAATTAACAAAAATATTTTTCTTTAATAAAGTATTATTGAACAGATAAACTAATCATAATCTCACCCACCCTGAAAAGCTTATATAATATAATATGTTCCACAATATTTTATAAAGTAAAAGTTGCATTGATAAGACAAAACTGTTTATATTTTGTACAATGTTTTTTTCCAAAACTGTTTACATTTTGGAATAGAGAGAGTATATTTTTTTCATTTTGATTAAGTTACAATTTGGTTGAGGATATATTGAAAATACAGAAAACCAGAAATTAATTTGTCTGTACCATGGGGAACATATCTTGGATGATGAATCATAGATCAACATATTTAATATTCCGTCCATTTTTTTTTACTTGTCATTTTAGAGTTATTCACGCAGATTAAGAAAGTAATCAGTTTTACTTTTTTGCCCCTATTTAATACATTTTTTTGTTTAATACTCCCTCTATTTCAAATTAGTTGTCGTTTTGAGGAAAATGTATCTGCAATTATTTGGATGTATTTGGATGTGTTATAGAGGTAGAGTTTATATTGATGGTTATAGGGCTTAAATTTTTGTGCATTTTTTTAATCTTTAGTTCTTGAAAAATTTTAAGGATAAAGAAATAGATAAACAACTAAATATAACCATATTTAACCATATTTTGTATATTATTAAAACATATTCATATATATATATATATATATATATATTAGTTTTCATATGTTTTAAATATAATTGTAGTGCATTCAACCATCATACACAGTAAAAAAAATCCAAAACAAAAAAACTCGAAAGGCAAAGTCCCACATCGACAAGAGAAAGGGCAATTTAACAGGCGATTTATCAGCCAATCGGCCAATTTTTAGAACACAATAGGATTAGGGTCACCCCCTGACGGTGTGAGTCAAGGCCACTTCAACTTGACTGCACACCATCGTCTAGGTTTTGGCTCTGATACCAAATTATAACGCCCGGACCACCCCTCCCGGTGAGTCACCCACGCCCTCTCTAGGCCCGCAGGCCCATCTCGGCCCGTGGGCCTCACCCCTGTCCGACGGCCGGTCCGTTATTTTCGAGAGACTCTAATGACTTGTTTATTATCCCTGCAATCAACACTTGACCTTTCCCCGTGTTTTGACCTTCCCGAAAGGTCACCCATCCTTCAACTACTCCAGCACAAGCACGCTTAATTGGAGTTACTTATAGACCTTTGACCGAAAAGGTAAATGAACTTTGTTGACATAGGTAGCCAAATCAATTCTCTTAATCCTCTCCTCATTTATCACAAACAAGGATGTTACAATAAAATTGAAATAATCATCATAATTTTGTTCACTACATTAATAAGATAACACTACAAGAAAACAGTCATTTTGCAACGAAATTTTACAACGAATTTATTTCGTCGCAAAATAACGTCAATTTAGCGTCGATAACGAAACACAACATCGTTGTAAATTCGTCGTAAATCGGGACGATCAGCAGTCATAGTAAATTCGTCGTTAAATAGCGACGTTGTTGCGACGAATTAACAACGTTTATATGTTTCGTTGGTAAATCGTTGTAAATTTACGACAAATTGACAACGACCGTATTTCATAGGTAAATACCGTCGAATTACCAACAAGATAAAGACGTAAAGGATTTTCGTAGTTAATCCGTTGCTAAATGCCGATGTAAATAGCGACGTGTTAGCGACATAAGGTTCTATAGTCGCTCTAACGTTATTAATTCGTCGTAAACCTAAACCCTAAACCCTAAAAACAACATGTTACACTCAATTTTTCAGTTACCAACCTAACCAATCAACAAATGATAACTTTTTTCATGTTTAATCCAAGTAAACGTAAGTTTCGAACATTACAAAGAAAATGAACAAGTGTTTCTTATAGTATAAGGTTTACTATATGTTATCTTAGAGGATTTCTTATAATTTATGATCTTTTCCAAATATGTTGTTGTATTTTGTCATTACAACTTCTTTTATAGCTCCTACTTATACTTCTCATACGAGTAAAAGAACGTTTAACAGTTTAGGGCAAATTTAGGGTTTAGGGTTCATATTAACAACGAATTTCCGACGAGTCGTCGTAAAAATGAAGCAAAATCGTGTCAATTCTTAAAATCTTTCCTCGGATGAAATCGAATTATAATATTCTGTGGTCCCTGTTTAGCAACGAATTAACGACGATTTGGGACACATCATTGTAAATTTGTCGGTAATAAGTATGAAAAATTTTAACGACGAATTAACAAGGACATCAAAAAATGGAAAAAATATTAATTTCCGCGTGCGGGAAAACGAAATTTTGCGAAAAAAATTAGCGACGAATTACGACGATTACCAAGAAATCGTTGTTAATTCGTTGGTAATTAACAACGAATTACCAAGGAACATCAATTAATGGAAAATTTTAATTCCCGCGTGCGGGAAAACGAAATTTTGCAAAAAAAATTAGCGACGAATAAACAACAATTACCAATAAATCGTTGTTAATTCGTTGGTAATTAACGACGAATTACCAAGGGACATCAAAAAATGAAAATTTTAATTCCCGCGTGCGGGAAAACAAAATTTTACGAAAAAAATTAGGGACGAATTTACGACGATGCGTACATATCATCGGAAATTCGTCGCTAAATAGCGACGCTGTTGCGAGGAAACAAAATTCTATATAAGGGATCCTCACTTCTTTCACACTTCCATCTCCCTTTGATTCTCATTTGCAACTCTCTCTTCTCACCGACCCTCTCTCACCCGCCGGATCCTCTCTCTCCCGCCGACCTCTCTCCCCTCTCTCTCTCTCCGCCAAGCCTCTCTCTCCCGCCGGACCTCCCTCTCTTCGCCGCCCCTCTCTCTCCCGCCGGACCTCCCTCTCTCCGCCAACCCTCTCTCTTCCGCCGGACCTCCCTCTCTCCGCCGGCCCTCTCTCCACCGATACTCTCTCGGATATTAGTTATTATATATTTTTTTTATTTTATTTTTTTTTAAAAAGAAAATATAATCGTCGCAAATACGACGCAAATAAAAATAGTAAAATAACGACTTTCGTCGTTAAATCGAAGCAAACTTATTCCAACTTTCGTTGTTAAATCGTTGCAAATTTGCGATGATTTAACAACAAAATATTACCGACTTCAAATTTCCGACGTTGTTTCGATGTCAATTTGGCGTCGATTTGAAGCCTTCTTGTAAATATGTTGTAAAGGTTACGACGATTTTACGACGTTTAGGTTGCGACGAATTAACGACGATTTTTTTTTCGTCGCTAATTAGCAACAAATTAACGACGATAGGTCATTAGCGTCGACAGCTTAACGACGATTTCGAATTCGACGCAAATCCGATGCCAAGATCGATTACCAACGATTTAAAAATGTTTTCGGCCGTTGCAAAACGTACAAAGGTAAAACGCACAACTTAAATTCAACCAGGTCAATTTTGCAATTGTTTGTTTGCGGAGGGTACATAAGATAACCTGAAAAATTAACCACGATAGCTAGGATAACCCATCAGGAATTATATTCCAAAGTTGCCCTTATTATAAATGTCTATAAAAATGATTATTTCTCTTATTATTTTTTTTATAACTCCTGTTATTTTAATTCGAAAATTCATTAGTAACCTCAATCATATTAAATGACATTCTATTTTATTTTCTTTTATATCTAATACTAATAAAGCAGAAGTCACCTAATGCTTCTCCATCTGACACATGTCCCTTCCAAATTTCGTTTTTATTTTAATTTTTAATTTCATTTTTTTCGTTGCTTTTCCCTTTTTTTTTTTTTCCATTTTCTCCCTCAAAATTCATCTTTCTCCCACGACGACACCACGATCTCCGTCTCTAAACCGCTATCTCACGTTCTTATACCTCTGAAATTTTGTATTACTATGAATCTCTCATTTCTTTTTCATCTTCAACAACTGTGTTTTACCTTTCTAGATCTCGAAATTCATCTTCCTCATTTTAAAATCTGTTCAGTCGAAATCCATGCCCAAATCCATGAATCAAGTCTATTTTTCTTAAATCAGGTATCTCTGTAATCTGGATTCTTTTTTCTTCTCTGTTAATTGAAAACCTTGCTTCAATCTCAAAATGAAAAATTGTAATTGCTTTTGATTATAATCGTTGAATGCTTGGTGCTGTTTTGGTTTCTGAAATTGGAGAATTTAGACAATGAGTAAGAATTTGTTTGAGATTGTTCACTCCCTAACACCACAATAATATATTCGAGAAGTTAATTGAGAAGTTCGCTTCTATCTCAGCTTCAATCTCAAATCGAAACATTGTTATTGTTTTTTATTATAATCATCATTGAATGCTTGCTGTTATTTTGGTTCTGAAATTGGAGGATTTAGACAATGAATAAGTTCTAGGTTTGATTACTTGAGTTTGATTACAATTTTTTTTTGCCGAATGCTTGAGTTCTAGGTTTTGAATGCTTGATTTCTGGGTTTGAGTATGAACTTTTTTAGTTGATTGTGAATGCTTGATTTCTGGGTTTTTAGAATTGGATCAGAGTTTGATGAAACTAACAAAACTTAGAGCCCGTTATGTGAATTGGATCTGACTTTGAGCATAGTTATAAAATTTGGATCAATCGAGCATGATAACTTCCTTCTTTATCATTTCCTTCTTCCACTCTGTTATTTATAAATTCCTCACATGAATTTCAGGTTTTCTGAAGTGCCTTTAACACAAGATGAAGCTTCCTCTCACACCAATTGCTGATTTAAAATCAGATCCAGAGAACAAAGTGTACAAGATTGAAGCTCGAATTAGCCGTCTTTGGCGATTTCCAAACAATGGCAATTCTGGGAATGATGGTGGAGTTGATTTAATACTTGTGGATGATAAGGTACATAAACCTATCTTAGTTCATCATGTTAATATGTGTTCATTAAACTGTTTTGCACAAGATAAACAAAATTTGATTGTATATTCTGGTTTCATGATAGGGAGATCGTATACAAGCGTGTATTAGAGGAGGAAAGTTAATAGCCAAGTTCCAGAAGGAACTCGAAGAAGGAAATTGCTGTGTTTTTATGAACTTTAAGTTGTCTCAAAATCTTGGCAATTACAGGGAACAAATCATCCTTTCAAAATGTTTTTCAACTGGTCATCACATATGAAGCTTTGTGAGCAGATTCCAAACCACTCCCTGCGTTTCAATTTTATCTCTTTTGATGAGCTGCTCTCTCAGGCTCATGACGAAAGAGTCTTCGTCGGTACGTCCTATCACCACCGGTTGTTTTTCTTTTTCATAGTTTAACATTTGCTTCATGTTTTTAATGATTGGAGACTTCTTTGTGCGTTTATGTACCTTCTATGTTCCACTTCTTTTACACAGATATAATTGGCGAGATGATTGGAATGAATGATCTTAAGGAAATTACAGCACAAAATCAGCCCTGTAAACTATTGAATCTCCAACTCAGGAGCATTGGGTTAGTAACTGTAATCTTAGGAAACTCAGTTTTGAAATATTAGGTGTACAGTTTTGTTTAAATCGTAAATTTTTTTTTGCTACAGTGGTTCAATAATTGATTGTGTGTTTTGGGAAAAATATGGTTTTGATATTTTTATAATTATAAAATGTGTTTATATTACTAATTTATTGTTTAACCGCTATTGCATCTGCAAGTGAACCAGTCATAAATATTGTAACATCCGTAGACCAAATAATTGAGATTTTTCTTTGGTGTCGGTGGACACCAGGGTGGTGTCGGTCGACACCAATGGTTAAAATTAATTTCTGGTTCAATTTAAGTTCGGTTTAGCCCGGTTTGGGCCCAGAAAGCCCTAGATTTCGAAATAAAAAGGTGCAGCCGCTTTCTTCTAGAGTTTTTGTCGTTTAGTGGATCAGGAACGTGAGAGAAGAGGAGAGAGGCGATCTGGGCAGATTTGAGATTTTCTTGGACGAATCTGCATCGATTTGTTGTTGTTCTTCGCTCCTTCCGTCTCCTTTCCCTGTTCCTAGCCAAATCAAGGTGAGTGCATGACTGTGGGTCCGATTGCTAGATTTGGTTTGTGTGTTGTTCTTGAGTTTATGTTTTAATTGTTATTATGTTGTTTGGTGTAATTTGTGTGTTTGGTGTTTTCTGTGTTTTTGTGTTTTGTTAAGAAGATCGGTTTAATTCGGTTCAATTGGTTTAATTGATTTAATTAATTTTAATTGGTTTAATGAATTATTTAATTCGGATTTAATTAATTAAATAATATTTAATTAATTAATTGGTTAAAATAATTATTTTAATTATTTTAAAATATGGAAAATTATTATTTAATTATGAGAATTATTTAATAATTGAGAAATTGAGTTTTAATTATTAAAATTATTTAATAATTGGAAAATGGTATTTAATAATTATTGGAGTTTATAAATATTATTAAATATCTAGTAAATTGCGTAAATGGCTCGTAGGCAGAGTGATTGCCTCACTAAGTATTTATTAAATACTTACGCAACTCCATTCCAATGTGTTGCAGGTAAAAGATTTGTGTGATCGCGGAATCAAGGCTGAAGAGGGGGATGATAGGATGTTTACTGTTTTATTGTTTTGCATTATTTTGCTAGACTTGTTTAATTATTATTTGCTTCCGCTGAGCTGATTTATTTGTTATTGATATTTTATTTATTTAATTTATTTTAAAGACCTTCGCTAGAATTGATTAATATTTATTAAAAAAAAAAAATGTTGGTTGTTTCATTTTGGTATCAGAGCCTAGACGGTTTTAGGACTGTTAGAATTGCTAGGCTTTAGTATCATCCCCTTCAGCTACAAGAGATTCCGCGGTGAGTTTATGTTTGTTTTGAGTTTTGGTTGTGTTCTAGTGTGCTCTTTTCGGTTCCATGAGTGAGATGGACGAGTAGCTAGAGGGCGCGGTGCTCGAGGCCGTGGTGGCAGAGCTAGAGGCCGTGGAGGCCGGGGCCGAGGATTGTGGACTTCGGCGGATTCGGGAGAGAGTGTGGGCCTAGTGTGGCGATTGCGTCGGTGACCCAGTCGGTATCCGTGGCGAGTGAGGCCAGTGTGGATGCGAGTGTTGGTTTGGGAGCGGGGGCTGCTCCGGGTTGGGGTGGTGCTCCGGCTCAGGGTCTTGATGACTTAGTGGTGGGTTTGCTGACGCAGTTATTGGCTCGTTTTCCGCCAGTGGTTCCACAGGGGGCTCCGGGAGTACCTCCAGTGGCAGAGGTGCAGCAGAGGGCTGCGGGTTTGTTCAGCCGCAGGCTGTGGGTTTGATGGTGCCGCCTATCTTGGATATGATGGGGCACATGCAGAGGATTGGTACGCCGTACTTTGAGGGCGGAGTTAGCCAGAGCGGCAGTGTGATTGAGATTGGAGCGGAATTTCCAGTCTATCAGTTGTCTGGTTTAGTACCAGGTGAGTTGGCAGTCCACTATCTGAGTGGAGATGCACATTTGTGGTGGTTGTAGTTGTTCTTTTTGTCTGTGATAGAATTGTGAGGTTCTCAACGCATGTGTTGTGTAATGACCTTGTTAGTGGGCGGTTTTGAGTCCCACGTTTTATTCGACTCTGGAGCATCGAATTGCTTCATTACACCGGAGCGTGCCGAGAAGAGTGGCATCCGGAGTAGCGCGGGCGAGAGCGCGGGCATGGTCAAGGTGGCGGGAGGTGGATTCTTGTCTACTTTGGGCCGTGCTAGAGGAGTCGAGATCGAGATTGCGGGGCAGTCAATGCCAGCAGACTTAGTCATCAGTCCGGTGGAGCTGTATGACGTTATTCTCGGGATGGACTGGTTGTCACACTACAGAGTTCATCTGGATTGCTACAGAGGTAGAGTGGTCTTCGAGCGAGATGCAGGGAGGTTGGTTTATCAGGGAGTGAGACCGACTTCCGGGAGTATTGTGATATCTGCTATTCAGGCCGAGCAGTTGTTAGAGCGGGGCTGTGAGGCGTATCTGGCGACGATTTCTATGTCTGAGTCAGGAGCTGGAGTTGTTATGGGAGATATTGAGGTTGTCCAGGATTTTGAGGATGTCTTTCAGTCACTGAAGGGATTACCACCATCTCGGTCTGATCCTTTCACGATTGAGTTAGAGCCGGGGACAGCACCGATATCGAAGACGCCTTACAGGATGGCGCCAGCTGAGTTGGCAGAGCTGAAGAAGCAGATAGAGGACCTTTTGTCTAAGGGGTTCATTCGACCGAGTGTTTCACCGTGGGGAGCACCGGTGTTGTTTGTGAAGAAGAAGGATGGCAGTTTCAGACTTTGTATCGATTACAGAGGTCTTAACCGAGTCACTGTGAAGAACAGGTACCCACTCCCGAGGATTGATGAGTTGTTGGATCAGTTGAGGGGTGCTACTTGGTTCTCCAAGATTGACTTGGCATCGGGGTATCATCAGATCCCGATAGATGAGGCAGATGTCAGGAAGACTGCTTTCAGGACGCGTTATGGGCATTTTGAGTTTGTGGTTATGCCTTTCGGTTTGACTAACGCGCCGGCAGCCTTCATGAGATTGATGAACGACGTGTTCAGGGAGTATTTGGACGTGTTTGTCATCATTTTCATTGATGATATTCTGGTATACTCGAGGAGTCAGGAGGAGCATGCGACTCACTTGAGGTTGGTTCTGGAGAAGCTTCGGGAGCAGAAGCTTTTTGCTAAGTTGAGCAAGTGCAGTTTCTGGCAGCGAGAGATGGGATTTCTTGGCCACATTGTTTCTGCAGAGGGAGTTTCTGTGGATCCGGCTAAGATTGAGGCTATCAGAGATTGGCCTAGACCTAGTAGTGCCACCGAGATCAGGAGTTTTCTGGGTTTGGCAGGATACTACAGGAGGTTCGTCAAGGGGTTTGCTACCATGGCGCAGCCGATGACGAAGTTGACCGGGAAGGATGTCCCTTTTGTTTGGTCAGCTGAGTGTGAGGAGAGCTTTAGTCAGCTCAAGGAGATGTTGACTACTACACCAGTGTTGGCGTTACCCGAGCCAGGGAAGCCTTACATGGTGTATACAGATGCTTCAGGCATTGGTCTTGGTTGTGTGCTGATGCAGGAGGGCAGAGTGATAGCATATGCTTCGAGACAGTGGCAGGGCAGTGAGCGTAACCGTCCTACACATGACTTAGAGTTGGGAGCAGTGATCTTCGCGTTGAAGATTTGGAGGTCTTACTTGCTAGGTGAGACAGTACAGGTCTTCACGGATCACAAGAGTTTGCAGCATATCTTCACTCAGCCGATGATGAACGCGAGACAGACGCGCTGGGTTGAGTTCTTGGCGGACTATCAGGTGAGCATTAACTACCATCCGGGCAAGGCTAACCTAGTGGCGGACGCGTTGAGTAGACGGAGGTATGATTCCGCAGTTGAGCGAGATGTGGAGTCTCTAGTTGGCGAGATCAGTACCTTGCGTTTGTGTGCCATTTCGCAGGAGCCTTTGGGTTTAGAGGCAGTGGATCAGGCGGATCTACTTAGCAGGATCAGAGTTGCTCAGCAGAGTGATCAGAGTTTGCTGGATGCGACGAGAGTGACTGGTTCTGAGTATGAGGTCTCTGCGAATGGGACTATCTTGGTTCGTGGGCGAGTTTGTGTGCCTAAGGATGTGGAGTTGAGACATCAGATTTTGGGAGAGGCTCACGCGAGCAAGTTTTCCATTCATCCGGGAGCGACCAAGATGTACCATGACCTCAAGAGGTACTATCATTGGGTCGGGATGAAGAGGGATGTAGCAGACTGGGTTGCGAAGTGCAACACTTGTGCCTTGGTGAAGGCAGAGCATCAGGTTCCGGGTGGTCTTTTGCAGAGTTTACCCATTCCAGAGTGGAAGTGGGACAGGATTACGATGGATTTCGTGGTTGGACTACCTGTTTCGAGGACTTTCGATGCTATCTGGGTGATTGTGGATCGGTTGACTAAGTCGCACATTTCTTGGCCATCAAGAAGACAGATGGAGCTGCTGTCTTGGCTAGGAAGTTTGTGCGAGAGATTGTGAGGCTGCATGGAGTGCCAGCTAGTATTGTGTCAGACCGTGATCCCAGATTCACTTCAGAGTTTTGGAGAGCTTTTCAGGCAGAGATGGGCACTAAGGTGCATCTGAGTACAGCTTATCATCCGCAGACAGATGGTCAGTCAGAGAGGACTATTCAGACTTTGGAGGATTTGCTGAGGATGTGTGTGTTGGATTGGGGTGGCCATTGGGCAGATCACCTGAGCTTAGTTGAGTTTGCATACAACAACAGCTTTCAGGCGAGTATTGGCATGGCTCCATTTGAGGCTTTGTATGGGAGGCCATGTAGGACACCCCTATGCTGGACCCAAGTGGGGGAGCGCAGCATGTATGGAGCTACTTATGTTCAGGAGACGACAGAGAAGGTTCGTGTTGTGAGGCTGAACATGAAGGAGGCTCAGGATAGGCAGAAGAGTTATGCAGATAGACGCAGACGAGAGCTTGAGTTTCAGGTGGGAGATAGAGTTTATCTCAAGATGGCTATGTTGAGGGGTCCTAACAGATCCATAGCAGAGAACAAGCTGAGTCCGCGATTTATGGGTCCGTTTCCAGTAGTGGAGCGAGTTGGGCCATTGGCTTACAGGCTGGAGTTGCCTGAGATTATGAAAGCCTTTCACAAGGTTTTTCATGTGTCGATGCTGAGGAAGTGTCTTCACCCTACAGAGGAGTTAGTGGCTAGGATTCCAGAGGATCTTCAGCCAGATTTGACAGTGCCGGCAGTGCCTGTGAGGATTTTAGAGAGGAGGGAAAAGGTTCTGAGGAACAAGAGGATTCCCTTACTGAGGATTTTGTGGGATTGCAGTGGTTCTACAGAGGAGACTTGGGAGCCAGAGGCAAAGATGAAGTTGAAGTTCAGGAAGTGGTTCGACAAGCAGGTCGAGGAGTGAGCTTATTTCATCTTTGTAGCCTCAGTTGTTATTTTTGGCTTTGGTGTTATTGTATTTTCGTTTTCGTTGTAACGATATACATTTTGGAGTTTTAATGAGATGCAGTTTTTCCTCATTTTGCCTTGTGTTGTGAAATGGTATTCGGATGTTACACATGTTTGACCAGTTTTTGGTTGTGAGACGGTCTAATCTTATGGTTATAGACATTTTCCGGAATTTTTACTCTAAGGATTGCGATCCTGAATAACTCATCATGTTTTTGGAGACTTCGTTCTCTGGCAGACTCTCTGGGTGCAAGTAGGCCTCAGTTGAGTGTAGCTTATATGGGTGCAAGTAGGCCTCAGTATAAGCAGTTTAGTTCATCTGGGTGCAAGTGGGCCTCAGTGCGGACCGGTGTGGACTTGTCTGGGTGCAAGTGGGCCTCAGTATGGTAGAACTAATGTCAATTTTTTATTATTACAGAAAATATTATTTCATTACCTACAAATAATATTCTCCGTAATAATTGACATTAGTTTTCCCATGCATTTCAATTTTTTGGGTTTTATTTGGTGTTTTATTTATAGTAAAGCTAGGAAAACTTTTTTTTTTGTTAAGATTTATGGACATATATTAACATGTAAATAAAACGAAGTTGTTTTATTTATTTTAATTTTCTTCTCACGTAGGGTTAAATTTCGTGCTACAAAAGGTAATGAATCTCATGTGTTTTCAACTCCGCCGCTGATATCACTAAGATAATCTAGTTCCAACTTTTGTAGAAAAGAAAAAGAAAATAAAGAAACATTAGTATTTGTACTTTTTATACTTGATAATTGATAGAGATGTGTAATTGGTGCAATGGCAATGATAATGCGACTTAGATAAATGGTAAATGTGGCATAAGCTTTGGTAATGACTCAAAATTCGCAAATGGCTTAGTTTTCCAATTACAGGAGAAGCGTTGGCAATCAGATCGGCTCTCCACCACACACTGGAGAACTGGAGAAGGGATATGCTTCCTTTCATGCATATCAAATCAGATAGGATCTCATCAAAATAATAACATCGTAAGAGCAAATCAAGGAAATCTACGAACTTTTATCCTATATCAAAACACTTGCATTTATGTTTACTTTTGTTCCTATATCACAATTCGAAAGCTGATACTCTGGCAAAAGCTGCGATTCACGACTTCCTCCTGTTTTAATTTCTCCTTTGTAAGATCCAACTTTAATTAATGAAAAGTTGATCAAAAAAACCATATAAATGGTAGATACCTTTAATCTTCTTCGCATATGTCTCTTAAATCTCTTACATCTACCTAAGTACCACCGCAAAAATCCTCCACAAAATTTCCAAATCTTATGTGTAGGTAATGAAATCTTATGAAATAATATTCTCTACAATAATCAAGAATTGACATTAGTTCTCCCATGTATTTCACTTTTTTGGGTTTAATTTGGTATTTTATTTATAATACGAAAACTTGTTATTTTAAATTTTTTTTAAGATTTATGGACATATATTAGCATGTAATTAAAATGAAGTCGTTTTATGTATTTTATTTTTTCTCCTCACGTAGGGTTAAATTTTCGTGCTATAAAAGGTTATGAATCTCATGTTTTCAACTCCGCCGCTCATATCACGAAGATAATCTAACTTGGATTTTCTTCTTGTCGCGGAGAGAATTTTGGTTGGATTTCGATTGCATCAACGAAGAACCCTTGAGGTTATAACATTTTACGAAAGGTATGTGCCAAGTTGAAAATCAAATGCGATTATATATGCCTTCTATCTAATTTTATACTAGATCATGATCCGTGCTGACGGCAGATTGTTGTTTTTTACAAGCATTCTCTTTAATTTTATATATATCCTCCAAATTTCTAAGATAACGGATCTGTGATTCGAGATTCATTTCACTAATAGAGTAATGAAGCTTTTAGATTTGAAGAATTTTATGTATAGTTTAAGGTATCTAGTTCAGTTCAGAACTATGGATTGTAACTATAGGACTCGTTGAAAGGAGCAAGTGGGCAAGTGGTAGTGTATCACCTCTGCATCCATCTAGAGTTTGACTCCACATTCCCGCATGTGGGTTCATTTCCTCATTGGGAGGAAATTGGGTCCATGGGTCCGGCCGTTGTGAACCACAAAAAAAAAACTATAGGACTCATAGCTTGGTAATTTTATTAAATTAAGAATATCCTCATTCATCTTTAAAACAAAACATGTATAAGATTTATACAAACATGTTCTAATTTTTTATGTAATATGTATACTGTAGTTTATTTTGTGATTTTATCTTCTACCGTCTTTCAATTTATTATTATTTTAATTATCCTTAGTAAAATGAAGGAGAGAAAAATAAGTAGACACGTCACACGTGCAAGTGAAAACGTTTTCTGGGAGGCGCCTATTACGTTTCCCTCTCTTAAATAGATCTCTTATTACTTGTGATTTGATTTAAAATCTTGAGTGTATTGCTCTCTTCTTATTTGATTGTTATGGCTGTGGAGGACAAGAAACCATCAAAGCGTTCGAGATGTCATCGGATGAAGAATCTATGTTTCTAGTAACGGTAAGTTCTCTATCTTTATTGATGTAAAACACTATGTAAAGCATTTTATTTGCTACTCCCTCTGTTTCAAGTTTCTAGGCAAAATGAAATGTGTTTTTGTTACTTTTGATTTTATAAACTGTGCATATTGTTTCTTCATTGGTTGAATTATCTTGAAATTGGTAAAACATATTTTATTTTGTAAAAGATAAAAATTAAATGAGTTTTTAATCTATGTACAGATAAAGAGGGAGTATGTGTTTTATGCTTTGTTGTAGTTTTCAAAGAGGATACTTCATTCCCTCTTCTTGTTGTATCTTGGAAGTTTAATTAATTGAATTGATGGTTGCAAAAGAAAAAAAAAATCACTCTCTAATTCAATATTTTTGCGATCTAAGCTTTATTTGAATATGTTGTTTATGCAAAAGGATGAAGGTAGAAGTGAATCAGATGTTGAAAAGGACAAGAACAAAGTGGCGGGCCAGATCAAGAAAGCCAAAGCCGGTAACAAACTGAAAGAAGAAACTGAGCTTGAGGCCAACTTCCTCAAAGTATAAGCATGACTAATGTCTCAGGTATTGATATCCCCAATGAAGATACTGGAAATGTGTTGCAGTTTCTTGAGTTTTATTCAGCCTTTCAAAAGGTAAATCGTAACTTACTTATGATTTTTTAAATCATTTTCTTGTGTGTTTCTTGAGTTTTGTTCAGCTTTACATTTTGATCTTTTCTATTTGTAATAGGTTCTTAAGAAGGGAGAAGCTGAATCTATTGTTGCTGAGCTTTTTTCACCTAGGCGTCACATGAAGAGACAACAACACAGCAATGTTATCCAGATGATGATCCAGTTGTTAAATCTAATATCAGCTGATAGAAACCTGTAAGAGTATTTTGAAAAAAAAAGTTATACCTTTTCAATGCTCTTGTTTCTAATGCACTTGAAAATCTCATCTTAGGAAATTGTCTATAAGTCAAACAGACACCATCTGGTTCAATTTTGCTGGAGAGATTCTATATAAATCAGGAGTTTTGAGTGGTTTTTTCCCACCTGAAACTTTCAAAAAAGGTGTTTCTGAGTATGAGAAGATGGATGCATCAAAGAGGCTCAAGCTTCTTATTTGCATATGTGATGAATCACTTGGCACAAAGTAATGTATTTATTTATTTCTTTTGATAAAAAAAGGGTAATGTACTTTATTCGCTTTTTTCTTTGTGATTTGTGCTTCCTTATGACCTAAACATACATACTTGTGTCACATTTTCCAGGCTAATGAGGGATTTCATCAAGAAAGAATTTACAAAGTCTGAAACAAAGAGAAAAGAAGCAAACCAAAATGCGACAGCTGCAAGACAAAAGGTGTTTTCTATAATCTTGCAATAATTTTTTTATTATTTTGTGCTTAAACTTCGTACTTCTTTTAGGAGAAACAACTAAGACAGAAGATGGAAAGTGATCTTGGCAAGGCCCATATGGAAGAAACGGGGGCTCCATTGTCCGTTGAAGAGCATCGTGCAATTATATCTCGACTTCAAGCTGAAGCTGAAGAAGCTCACGATGAGATGCTGGCGGCAAAGGCCATGGCATCTAGAAGATGTGATGCTGTTAGAACCGAGCCTATCCTGTTGAATGATGATGGCAGTGCTCTCTGGAAACTAAATTGCTTTGAAGAAGAACCAAAGTTTTTGCTTCAAGGTGTGAAATTTACTCTTAACTTTTTAAAAAAAAAACACTTAATGTGAGATTGTTGTTTAGAAGTTTAATTTTTACTCTTAATTTCATGCACAGAGCGAGGAACATTTGATGATTTACCTCAGAATGAAAAATGGTTAGCTTTTAAGCGTGAGCAGAAACAAGAGGTCGAGAAGTATATCTCTGAAAAAAGAGGTAAGTTTATTATTCTCTAGCAATGTAATTATTTGGTTGATTTTTGTAAGGGTAAAAGTTAATCAAATTATTGCTTCTATTTTATAGGATGAAGCTGATGCGAGCACAAAAGAATGCATAATCAATAAGGTGCATGGGGATCAATTAAAGTGTGAGAATTGTCAATTATGTAATTTTCAGAATTCTGGAAACTGAAAAATGTTTTAACTTATTTCTTTTTTCCGTTCGTTTATCTTTGGTTTTCTCTAGTTCAGTTCACTTGATTACATTATATACAATAGAATCTGATCAGGTGAAACTGGTCCAATATTTTGGTTTATGGAAAACCGATGTTATATGCTTGTTTTATCTGCGGCCTAAATTTTCCAACATAAATGTTAACATCTTATATAGGTTTTTGTTTTTAGTCACAATAGTCTTGAATTATATGAAGTTGAATAAGTGTTGAATAAGGGATGTCAAGAAAGAGAATGGGAGATTTCATCAGATTCAAGCCGTTGCTCCTACTGGTATCTTCTAATTGATGTCTACAGTTGTGTCCAAAGCATTGGAGAATGATTTAAATTGTGTGATTTTAGATTTTATGTGTTGTTATGATGACCATATATTTGATTTCGAATTCTTTTCCTCACCCACAACAATTTGTAAGGCGATCTCATGGAAAAATAATTAATTGATTCTTATAACAATTACATTCTGGAAGCCTTTGGTAAAAAAACAGCTACATTCTGTATAACATATTTGAGAAAAATGATATAAGTATGTGTAGAGATTAACATAAAAAAAAAAGAGATTAACATACATACCAACCCAAAAAAAAATATGTGTAGAGAGTGGCAGGTTCTTACCCTTTCTTTGATTTTGGCTTTTAAGTTTTTTTCTTCAGAAGACGATGGATTTTGTTGCATCGTGCAATGCCATGAATAATGACAAGCAATGTAAAATTTATTGTTGTCATAAATGCTTATCGAACAAGTACGTTTATATTTCGTGGATGTGAATCAGATGTTGAAAAGAAATTTATTCTCTTTTTCGTGAGTATTTATAAGAGGATTATTAAGGAGAGTTAAATTGGCGCTTCCATGTTTTCATTAGTGTCTTCTTGTTTTTTCTCTTCTTTTCTTACCACTGTTTTCCTTTCATGCAAGTCAACATTATTACAATTTCCAAGTTTACAAACAAAAAAAATCTAAGGATACCTTTGAACAAAATTGTTCCAAGTCAACAATAAAATTTGTTAATAATCATATAAACTTTGAACAAACTTGTTCCTCTCCAAACATTTATAGAAGAGTTACATTTAAAATAAAATAGAGAAAATCCATCATATATTTAACATGACAATGGCTATCACATATATATTTTTCCTTAAATATGTAATAAATACAAAATAATATATAAATGTAGATCTTAGCATACAAAAAACTTTTGAATTTTAATAATGAAAAACATTTTTTTGCGGGTGAGAAATTAGCAATTTTATACCCGTTAGAACTTTTTCTCTTTCTTTGACTGAGAAAACTTAATTGCCAAAAAAAATTAAAACATTAATATGTGTTAAAATCTAATTGATTGATTAATAAATTGTTTTAATCTAGTTAAATCAGTTTGTTAAACAAAAAAAATCACTACAGATTAGCCTTGAACATTTTGGGATTTGGGACGGATGCTGGCGAGAATGGGATGAGAATCCAAAATGTGGGAACTAAATATACTACATGAAGTGTGTTCTTATGATAATTGGACGGAAAGGAAATTTATGACTAAATAGTTATTATCCAATTAGATATTTAAACTCTTTATAAATCAGAAAATACGATAAATTTTCGGAAACTAAGAGAAAATTTTGGAAAATTTTAAATCTATATAATTTCAGAATTTTTTTAATTTCAAATGGATATTTTGGGTACCCGTTTTCATCCTGTAACATCTGTAGCCTTTTCTGGATAGTTTTAGAAGTTGCGTAGTGTGACGCAAGGTGTGCGTCGGTCGACGCAAGACTTTCAAAATCGGACCCACTTCAATTTAAGTGAAATTGGACCCCCGGTTAAGCCCGGAAAAGGGTTGGAAACCCTGATTTTTGTTTTAAAGGAGAAGCAGCCGTCTGTTCACACACGTTTTTCGAGGCAGAAAATGAGAAAGGCAATTTTGAGAGTTCCTGGGCGAAATCCGGGTTTTGTGGTCGATCTGTAGTGTTGTTCATCGTGTTCTTCCTCTATCATCTGGTTTTCCCCTTTTTCCACCTTTGAGACGTGAGTGCATGATTGTGGGTTCGCAATTCACTAGATCTGGATTGATTGGATGTTGTTCTTGAGGACCGATGCAAGGCGTGCGTCGGTCGACGCAACCGGTTCAATCTGCTTCAATTGAAAATTGATTTCTGGTCTAAATTAAGTGAATTTCGGTTTAGTTGAATTGAATTCTGATTTAAATCTGGTTAATTGGTTTAATTCAGATTTAATTAATTAAAGGATATTTAATGAATTAAGTGGCTTAAAATAAGTATTTAAATTATTTTTAAATATGGAAAATTATTATTTAGTTATGAAAATTATTTAATAACTAGTATGATTGCCCGTGCATACGCACATATCAAATTCTCTTTCATTTAAATGTTACTTTCATTAATTTTTAATGTTACATTTTCATCAAAAAGTTTATTAAAAATATATATTGTCTATATATTTTCGAAATTGGATAATATAGCCATAATCGACGATTACATGGACATAAAATTTGGAAGTAAATGTGTTAAAACTTAAAACAAAGTGGTTGATAATGGTAATCGATTTATCTGATTTTTTTTTGTTTGGAAGCAGTTATACATATATCAAATATCTTTCATAATATCAACACATTAAAAAATACTATATTTCATCCATTTAGTTTGTATTTATTTTGTCAATAATTTTATTTAAAATATAAATACATTTTAATTTTATACGTCAAAAAACCATGAAGATAAGATAAATTAAAGATAAATTTTACTAAAAAGATTTACGCAAACAGTGAAGATGAATTGAATCAAAGACTGTGTTTTATAAAAAAGCTAGAAAAAACATGATGATATAAGAGAAACACTTGTAGAATTTCTTCTCATCTTCTGTAGAAGTACAAACTCTATACTCTATAACAAAAATGAACTTCTTCTTCTACTGGATTCCACATTGTTTCAGTATCTTTTCAGCCTCTAAGCACTTTGTGTATGTTTCCTTTGATCACGTCTTTTACTTTCTTTGCGCTTTCTTTTTTTATCCTTAAAATTTTGCTTGTGTTTCAGTGGTTTAGTCTGCAAAACAAAAGGAGGTTGTAACTTGGACTTATGAGAATGAGATGAATAAAACATTAACACACTTCTCGTTCATTAACACAACCATATGAATAACTTTAAAAAAAAATTACATTGATCTATATCATTAACTTCTTTATGAGTTGAATACACATATTTTTAAAGCTTACCTTATTTACTTCTTATGTCATGTTCTTCCTGAATTTCCTGCTATATGGCTTCTTTGGCTTCTTACATCTAGTAAGCCATTCAATATCTCCATCTGCAAACAATCATGCAAATCCAACTAAAACAATAAAATCAGATGTAACACAGAAATACCATTCTATAAAAGCAAATCAAGTATTTAAAATCAGTACATAAATAGCTTCGTTAAAGAATCATATATATACGATAAATGCTTAGGTACACATATAATTTGAACACACGCAGAAAAAAAGTGAAGCATAATGCTATCTCTTTTTTAACAAAAAAAAAAAAAGAAAAATGCTATCTCTCTGTTGTAAAATTTATAGCACAGTAGCAAAATCTTCAATAATTTGATCCTTAAAGTGGTGAATTAATGGAAATTTTGTACCTTTTATCAATAGCAATTCATGCATTCTATGCGTTTGCGTTTGTATATGCAGTCTCTCTTTCTCCCTCTTTTTCTTCTTTCGCCGGATATTACTATGAAGTTTCTACTCACTGGCTCCCAATAATCGGCTTTCATTATTGTTTTGAATCAACTGGAGGTTTCTCTGCTGTTGTTTTTTTGTCGAATATGAGAGGTCTCAGAGATTTACAGGAGTATAAGAAAGATGAGATGGTGGACGTACGAAGAAAAAGGATAGTGGGTGGCTTCGTGGGAATGTTTTGAAACCGTTAATATATAAATATTGATTTTAATCATTATCTCATTTTTTTTTTAATAGTATAGATGTAAGCTTAATCGATTAACAAAATTGCTGACCCAAAATATCTCAATCGGAAGCCTAAGAGCATATGCATTGCACATACTAGCACAGGTTCCAAGAGAAAAAGAAAAAGAAGAAAAACAAAACAATAATGATGTGGCAAGTTTTTGGGCTGAATCGGTTCTGGAAGAAGGGACGCAGGAGACGTCTCTCAGAGGAAGCTTGCCAGATGTCATTACACTATTGGTCAATCTTTTTTTCTTTTTCTTTTTTACAAGAAAAATATTTTTTAAATATATTTGAGAACCTTATATGGGTATGTGCATTGTATATGCTCTAAGCCCATTACGATGTGTTTATTTTGTCACTTAGTTATTAATTGTTTTCAGGTGGAAATTGTACGTGTTATTATTAAGTGAAAGATTAATTTATTTTGTTTTAACTAGTACACATGTCACTCTGCCATTGGTGGAGTGATTTGTGCTTTAGTATATTAGGAATTGAAAAATGGAGTTTTAATTATTGAGAATTACCTAATAATTGGAAAAATAGAGTTTTACTTATTATTCTCCCCCCTAAGTCCCAGCGTCATTTCCAAACCATTCAAACCTCTTCTCCATCCCACCCTCAACCCGTAAGCCAGAAAACTACCCCTCCTAAAAACCAAACTGTCAAACCCCCACAGACTCCGAACCCGCAAGTTACTGTTCCTCCACAACCTACCCCAGAAACAAAATCTCCATCCCTGGCAGCTAGAATCAGAGCTTTTGAGGATAAATCTCTTCAAAAATTGGCTCCTGAATCCTTCTCTGAGAAGGGAACACCTAGAGTCAGAATTCCAGATGAAGTGTTCGAAGAAGGTGCAGAATTGCACAAAGACTTCATAGTCTGCTACTTCAACGGTAGAGCTCCATCCTATAGCCAAATTCAAAGCGTTTTGAATCACATGTGGGGCAAAGGAAAAAGATTGGAAATCCATAATACGTAATTCCCTAACTAGATCGATGATAGCCAGGATCCCGAATGATTACCTGAGGAGTAAGATTCTGGAGAAAGGCGTATGGTATGTTGGTGACTCAATGTTTCACACTGCTAAGTGGACTGCTGGTCACTCATCTGATGATAAACCGCTAGTTACACTTCAACTATGGGCGCATTTGACAGGTGTCCCTCTAGACCTGAGACATCAGCGAGGCATGCGTCTAATAGCAGGATTAGTGGGTGAGCCAAAGGAAACAGATGATTTTACAAAGAACTTGGTAAGTCTTACCCTTTCCCATGTCAAAGTGGAAGTGAATATGTCAAAAGAGTTTCCGAATGTGGTTGAGTATGAAAGAGATAGTGGAGAAGTAGTGGAAGTTCGCGTTGACTACCCATGGCTTCCTCCTAAGTGCTCTCATTGTCAAGAGCTTGGTCATATAGCGAAGAACTGTCTGCTTCTATCCATCCCTTCGAAAGTTCAGCCACCTGCAGCTGCAAAGGAACAAGTTAAAAAGGTCTACCAAAAGAAGAAAGATACTATTTCGGTGTCACCAAATTCTGAAGGGATTGGGACTCTGCAAGCTCCTCCTCTGATTAATAAGAAAGTCATACCTCCTTTGGTACCTCAGGATAGTAGTCTGCCGGATCCCCTTGCGGCTCCCTCTCAGGAACTTGATCCCATCCTCTCTGCTTTAAACACCAACCCTTCCTTAGCCGCTCTGTCTGCCAATAAACTCTCCCCGACCACAAAGAAATCTACCTCCCTGCCCTCATCTCCTAAAAAGTCACATGTTCCCTCAATCATTATAGCTCTTCCGGCTACCTTCACTGCCACGGGTGAACCTTACCCCTATAGTCCCCCACTTCCTCCCTTACCTCAGAAAAAAGCCTCACTTAAAAGATCCCGCTCAAATCCTTCTCTTTTTTCTCCCTTCACCCTAAAAGTTTCCTCCGTTTCTCAAATCCAAGGCCCTCCTCAAATTCCTCTAAAAAATGCTTTTTCTTCTTTAACTAATTCTGTTACATCTTTTGAAGATCCTCCACCCGTGGAGGTATCTTGCCCTTCCTCTTAATGGATTATAAGTTCTTCTTTTGGAATGTTCGTGGTATAAATGACCCGAACAAGCATCAGCCCTTTTGTTCTTGGCTTAGTAGCCATCAGCCACTTTTTGGATCTATAATAGAATCTCATATCAAAGATTCAAACTTGAACCAGTTAATGTCTAAGCTATGCGGAGGTTGGAAGTTTACCTCAAACCATTTATCTGATGAAGATGGCAGGATTATATTCATTTGGCGTGATCCTGGAAAAGTGAGAATCCTCAACCAATCTCGACAGAGCCTTACATGTCAGATCACTCTACCCAACTCGAAATGCTTCACCTACACATCTATTTATGCGTCAAACCTGAGCAGTGACAGAACGGAGCTGTGGGTGGAACTGCTCAATGTTTCTCAGACTCTCTCACTGAATTCCTCTCCCTGGATGCTTGGAGGCGATTTCAACCAGATTCTATACCCCTCAGAAAATTCCAATCCTGATGTTATCTCTTCAAACTCAAGGATGTTGGAATTTAGAGATTGCCTTACTCAACTGGGAATGTTTGATCTGAGATTTCAAGGCCCTCTTCATACTTGGACAAGCTGTCAGCCGGAATCTCCAGTGGCTAAAAAGCTAGATCGCCTCCTTGTCAACTGTCATCTCTTATCCCTGTTCCCAAATAGCTTTGCCAATTTCCTCCCCCCCCCCCCCCTTTAACCTCTGACCACTGCCCTTGCTTGATAGACCTATCTCACCCTCTCCCAAAAGCTGGAACTAAGCCCTTCAAATTCTTTAACTACCTAACCAAACACCCAGAATTTCTTCCTGTGGTTTTGGACGCTTGGACTCAGGCCGGAAGTTTGATATCACCATATTTTACATGATTTTACTATATATTTACCTATGTTTTCAAACGGTTTTTGCAAGATTCTTTGCCTTTAGAGGTAGTTTTCTTGTATTTGTGGGATTTGAAGTCTTTGTAGGTGAAATAATCAAAAAGGATGCAAAAAGGAGTAAAAGAGCCCTAAATCAAGATCCATGCAAGTTTCCAAGTCAAGAAGATCATTTTATCTCCAAGTGTTAGTTCTCGCTGCGCGCAGAACGAAGCTTCGGAAGTTTGGCCGCGCGCGGAGGAGTTCCCGACGTCCAAAAGTTACGATCTTGATATGGAAAGATAGATACTTGAGTCATGCATCACGTCGAAGTGGAATGAAGCCATTTGGATCAACTATGAGGCCTAGACTTATTTTCTACCGAGACATGTCCGGTAAGCGAGTAAACGAAGCCCATGGAGGATTTGGAGTGTCTAATGGCCCGAGCAGCAGCGCCAAAGGCCTTGATCGAATAGAGAAGAGGCCTGGCTAATGTTTGGAGCTTTCCTTGGTACAATGTCGGCCCATACACGACGTGGAGAAGAAGGCTCGGCGCATGAGAAACTTTCCTTTTCTTGCATGAAGAAAACCCTACGCGACTTCGCCCATATATACATGTTTTTAGCCGCTGAGCGGAGATCAGAGAGCAAGAATCCGATCGAGTCCAGTCCGAAAATTACCAAAGAGTTCACGTGTGAGAGAGAGAGAAGAGAAGAGAAGCCCTAGGAGATCGTCCAAGAAGAAGGAGGCGCCGCTCAACTCTTGTTCTTTCTTTTTCATTGTTTCCATTTCTATAAACTTGATCTTAAGAGTTTTCAAGGGAGAATCCGACTTTGTTTCATCAATAGAGAAGCTTTCTTCATCCCTTTATCTCTTTTAATACTTGCATAATGTTTACAATCATGCTTTGCTTGCTTGTTTGCATCATGGCCGAGTAGATCTCTTAGTTAGGCCGAGGAGATCTATGGTGGCCGTGATGATTTGATTGTGTTGCAACTAATTGGGATTTATCTTATGGATCTTCACCTTTACTTGAGCTTAATGCATGATTACTCTACCGTACATCTAGTAATCTGATCTTAGAGAAATAGAACCACGACAGTGCTGAATCTAGATCTCAAAACTAGTATTTGGTGAGCAATAGATCATAGCCAACGAAAGCTGAGTTATGGTTTATTGTGAACAATTGAATCTTGAACCTTGTAATGCATGTTTGCAATTCTAATAGCCAACGAAAGCTGAGTATATTAGGTTGTTTCAAACATAGTGGTTGGAGCCACGACAGTGGAAAAACCATACACTAGTGATTCATGTTCTAGACGGCTCTACACACATCCCATGCAACTATCTTTTCATCATTGCTCCATATGATTGTCCTTTGCCTAACTCTTGTTTTAAATTGTTTACAAACTCATTCACATTTCTTTTGTTTTGTTTTCTCATTCTAGGTACCAAAACCACCTCATATTGCGAGCTAGCTACAAACCGATCTCACAAGGTGTTAAGCGAGAACACTTCCTCCTCGTGTTCGACCCCGACTACAACACGGCTGTGCACTTGCAGCTCATTAGTTGGGTTTATAAATTGTGAAAATTTGAGGCAATCTAAACCCGCCATCAAAGTTTTGGCTCCACGCTCACTCAATTATGCTGGAAACAAAAGACTATTAAGAAATCACTGAGAGAGTTAAACAGAGAGAACTTTTCCCATATACAAAAGAGAGTAAGTGAGGCTTAGAGTTTGTTGCAAGTTGGGCAGGTACAAGCTCTTCAGGCGCCATCCCAACAGCTCTACGATCAGGAGAGATCCCTCCATGAGCACTGGAATTTCCTGCGACACATAGAGGAAAGTTACTTCAGGCAAAAATCAAGAATCAATTGGTTGAAAGAAGGGGATCTGAATACGACTTATTTCCAGAGAATAGCCCAAACACGAGTGAGCTACAATTCGATCAGATCTTTCTCCCTACCTTTAGGTGTTGTCATTCACGATCCGTTGGAAATGATTTCTCATGCAATCAAGCACTTCCAGTCAATCCTAGGCCCAGTAAATCTGCCTCCTATCTCGATCCATTCTCCACCTAACTGGTTCCAAGAGCTGTCATCTTTTCAATGTTCCCCTGAGCAGAAAAGAGCGATGATCACTTACCCATCAGCTGAGGAAATAACTAGAGTTGATATCACCATATTTTACATGATTTTACTATATAATTACTTATGTTTTCAAACGGTTTTTGCAAGATTCTTTGCCTTTAGAGGTAGTTTTCTTGTATTTGTGGGATTTGAAGTCTTTGTAGGTGAAATAATCAAAAAGGATGCAAAAAGGAGTAAAAGAGCCTAAACCAAGATCCATGCAAGTTTCCAAGTCAAGAAGATCATTTTATCTCCAAGTGTTAGTTCTCGCTAGCGCGCAGAACGAAGCTTCGGAAGTTTGGCCGCGCGCGGAGGAGTTCCCGACGTCCAAAAGTTACGATCTTGATATGGAAAGATAGATACTTGAGTCATGCATCACGTCGAAGTGGAATGAAGCCATTTGGATCAACTATGAGGCCGGAACTTATTTTCTACCGAGACATGTCCGGTAAGCGAGTAAACGAAGCCCATGGAGGATTTGGAGTGTCTAATGGCCCGAGCAGCAGCGCCAAAGGCCTTGATCGAATAGAGAAGAGGCCTGGCTAATGTTTGGAGCTTTCCTTGGTACAATGTCGGCCCATACACGACGTGGAGAAGAAGGCTTTGCTCGCATGGGAAACTTTCCTTTTCCGGCATGAAGAAAACCCTACTCGACTTCGCCCATATATACATGTTTTTAGCCGCTGAAGAGAAGAGTCCGAAAATTATCAAAGAGTTACGTGTGAGAAGAGAGTTCAGAGGAGAGAAGCCCTAGGAGATCGTCCAAGAAGAAGGAGGCGCCGCTCAACTCTTGTTCTTTCTTTTTCATTGTTTCCATTTCTATAAACTTGATCTTAAGAGTTTTCAAGGGAGAATCCGACTTTGTTCATCAATAGAGAAGCTTTCTTCATCCCTTTATCTCTTTTAATACTTGCATAATGCTTTCAATCATGCTTTGCTTGCTTGTTTGCATCATGGCCGAGTAGATCTCTTAGTTAGGCCGAGGAGATCTATGGTGGCCGTGATGATTTGATTGTGTTGCAACTTATTGGGATTTATCTTATGGATCTTCACCTTTACTTGAGCTTAATGCATGATTACTCTACCGTACATCTAGTAATCTGATCTTAGAGAAATAGAACCACGACAGTGCTGAATCTAGATCTCAAAACTAGTATTTGGTGAGCAATAGATCATAGCCAACGAAAGCTGAGTTATGGTTCATTGTGAACAATTGAATCTTGATCACCTTTAATGCATGTTTGCAATACTAATAGCCAACGAAAGCTGAGTATATTAGGTTGTTTTAAACATAGTGGTTGGAGCCACGACAGTGGAAAGACCATACACTAGTGATTCATGTTCAAGACGGCTCTACACACATCCCATGCAACTATCTTTTCATCATTGCTCCATATGATTGTCCTTTGCCTAACTCTTGTTTTAAATTGTTTACAACCTCACTCACATCTCTTTTGTTTTGTTTTCTCATTCTTAGGTCCAAAACCATCTCATATTGCGAGCTAGCTACAAACCAATCTCACAAGGTGTTAAGTGAGAACACTTCCTCCTCGTGTTCGACCCCGACTACAACACGGCTGTGCACTTGCAGCTCATTAGTTGGGTTTATAAATTGTGAAAATTTGAGGCAATCTAAACCCACCATCAAGAGTCATGTTCAAGCTTAATCCTAACAAGTCATCAGGTCCTGATGGACTTACCTCTGGTTTCTATAAAGCAGCGTGGAATATCTTAGGCACCGAAGTTATCTCCTCCATATCCCACTTCTTCACGTCTTCCTTCATGCCAAAAGCCACAAACTCAACTATTCTTACTCTCATCCCGAAGTTCCCTGGTGCATCCATGATCTCTGATTACGGACCCATCTCTTGCTTGAACACGCTATAAAAGGTGGTCTCCCGACTCCTCGTGCAAAGGCTTAAACCGATTCTTCCTTCACTGATCCTCCCAAATCAGACTGCTTTTGTCAAAGACAGATTGTTAGTGGAGAATACTGTTCTGGCTGCAGAACTGGTAAATGGTTATCACAAGGACAAGGGACCAAAGAGAATTACCATAAAAGTGGACATTGCCAAAGCTTTTGATAGTGTCTCATGGGAGTTTCTGTTCAGCTGTCTTGAAGGTCTGGGTCTGCCGGATCAGATGCTACACTGGCTAAAGTCTTGTATTTGCACTACAAATTTCACAATTGGTTACAACGGCATGGTACAAGGTTACTTTAAAGGAAAAAGAGGTCTGAGGCAAGGAGACCCTCTATCCCCCTATCTTTTCGTTATCGCTATGAATTGTCTATCACTAATGTTAAACAGAGCTGCAGAGGAAGGAAAGTTCGCTTACCATCATGAGTGTAGTGCCTCGAGACTGACTCACTTATGCTTTGCAGACGATCTTCTAATATTCGTAGAAGGAACTCTAGACTCGGTACACAATGTGCTCCAAGTGCTCAACGAATTTCAGCTTCGCTCTGGCCTAGCAGTTAGCGTCCAAAAGTCTTGTCTCTTTGGCTTCGGGCTTTCACAGAATGAATGTGACTTGATAAAATTCTCCACTGGAATGCCTCAGGGAACGCTGCATGTTCGCTACTTAGGAGTCCCTTTGTGCACCAAAAAACTAAGCATTGCTAACTGTGAGGTGCTGATACAACAAGTCAAGGATAGAGTTACCTTTTGGAGTGCAAGATCGCTATCCTTTGCAAGGAGACCCTCTATCCCCCTATCTTTTCGTTATCGCTATGAATTGTCTATCACTAATGTTAAACAGAGCTGCAGAGGAAGGAAAGTTCGCTTACCATCATGAGTGTAGTGCCTCGAGACTGACTCACTTACGCTTTGCAGACGATCTTCTAATATTCGTAGAGGGAACTCTAGACTCGGTACACAATGTGCTCCAAGTGCTCAACGAATTTCAGCTTCGCTCTGGCCTTGCAGTTAGCGTCCAAAAGTCTTGTTTCTTTGGCTCCGGGCTCTCACAGAATGAATGTGACTTCATAAAATTCTCCACTGGAATGCCTCAGGGAACGCTGCATGTTCACTACTTAGGAGTCCCTTTGTGCACCAAAAAACTAAGCATTGCTAACTGTGAGGTGCTGATACAACAAGTCAAGGATAGAGTTACCTCTTGGAGTGCAAGATCACTATCCTTTGCAGGACGTCTTCTCTTGATCAAGACTCTAATAGCGGGTATATCAACTTTCTGGTGCTCCACATTCATACTCCCTAAAGCGTGAATCAAAAGAATCAACTCCATATGCAGCTCTTTCCTCTGGAAAGGAAACCTAGAGGGTCATAACTCAGCAAAAGTCTCGTTGTCACATATTACACAATCAAAGGAAGCGGGAGGGCTAGGAATCAAATACCTCAATGTTTGGAATAAGGCATGCTGTCTCAAGCTTGTTTGGCTCCTTTTCTTTCAATCTGGATCGGTTTGGGTGGCCTGGTACAAGAAGGAAATCAAATGGTGACATTTGCAACTTTTGGACGGTGAAACCACACAAAGATAACTCGTGGTTGGCTAACAAGCTGATAAAGATGAGAGAGGATGTTTACCTTTGGATCAAGCTACGGATTGGGAATGGAGTTCATTGCAGGTTCTGGTCCGATAATTGGTCACCTTTTGGGAAACTGCAGAACTTCTTGAATGCATCTGCAACTTCAAGACTAGGCATCCCGGCTCGAGCAACTGTGGTGAGCCTCTTCCGCAGGAATAGGTGGTGTCTCCCCTCTGCTAGATAGGACAACCAAGTAAGCCTGCAAGCGTTCTTAACCACCATCACGCTCTCGGACCAAGAGAATGCCTATGAATGGGAAATTGATGGAAAAATCTCAGGCAAATATAGTATGGGAACAGTTTATTCAGAGCTGAGACAAGAGCGAGTAGTGGTACCTTGGAAAAAAATTATTTGGAATGTAGGAGGCATTCCAAAACATAGCTTCCTAGCTTGGCTCTTTCTCTTGAACCGCTGTCCAACAAGAGATCGCATAATTGGCTGGGGTCTCCAATCGGATCCTCAATGTCTTCTCTGCAACTCTGGTTTTGAATCAAGGGACCATTTACTGTTTGATTGCCCAGTCAGCTGGTCAATATGGAATCTGATGGCAGCGAGATGCAATATCCGGCCAGCACGGATGTGGACAGAATCTATGGAACAGATGACAACTCTGTCGTCCGGAAAATTGTGGAATAGGCTCACCTTGATCGCGTGGCAGGCGAGTATTTACTGGATTTGGCATGAGCGGAATCAAAGGTTGCATCGCCAAATCTTCTCTTCTGTTGACACGATTATGGTGCTCATCAATCGTCAGATCCGTAATTGAATCGCGAGCTACCGAGACAACAACCCATCTCTTGCTTCAAAACTGTTGCAACTCTGGTTATCTACGGAGATTCGAAGGTAGATTCTGGAATCGGCTTTCTCACCTCCTTCATCATATTTTTCTCTTCGTGACTTCTCAATTACCTCCTGGTTTGGGCTTAGAAATTCTGATTGGTTCAAGTTAGATCCACAACTGCTGTATTTCCTTTTGGGCTGCGGCTAAAACTCTAAAGCCTATGGGCTTGTAAGATTTTTCTTTTTTCCTGCATTAATAAGAAAGCCTTTGGTCAAAAAAAATAATAATAATAATTGGAAAAATGGAATTTACTAATTATTGAGGATTATAAATATTATTGAATTGCTAGTAATTGCGTAATGGACCTGGAGGGTGATTGCCTCACTAAGTATTTCTTAAATATTTACGCAAATTTATCGCAATGTGTTGAAGGTAAAAGATGTTTTGGAATAACTAAGGGCATTGACAAGTCGAGGCCATTGTTAACAAGGTTTGATGTATTTATTTGGCAAAAGCAATTTTGTTTTGTATTGAATTTGTTTTGTGATTTACTTATAAAAGATGAAAAATGTGAATGCAGGGCTGCTTCCTCTAGGTATTGATGTGGAAGTTCCTGATGGCGGAATGTAGATAACATAACAACAAACTCTGTACTTAAACAAATGGTCTCTTATAATTCATTCGTTGGCTTTGGTTTCCTTTCTTAATGATATTTTGGTTTGTATGTTGATTAGACATTATGAGTTTGACAAGTAGCATTTCTTCAAGCAACATAAACAAAGTAAAACGAGAATTTCGAATAAAATATATTGAATTATAGAGATAGCAACTCAAAAACTTATATAACTGTCTTACTTTCTCCTATTGAATTTCTGCTAATAAGAATCAAAGATAACTTCTAGTCTAAATTTCTTCATCAAACTATAACAACAGCTAGAGATTTTATAACATCAACATACATATCAATCTCAGCCCCATCCAACCATTCAATTTTACCCCGAATCTCCCTTTTTTGTTTCTTTCCAAGGAAATCTCCGCAAAATAAGTCACTCCAACGTAACTGTCTTCATCACGGAACAAAAAAAGTTTCCCACCGTAACTCGCGGTCTTCCACCACCCAGGGTTCACCATATCATACAATTCCTCAACACCCTTCACCACTCCCCAAGACTTCTTCTCTGAATCATACGCTCTTATCTTGTCCTTATAGTCATCGTAATAATACAAAACATCATCAACCACACAAGCATTCTCCCACTCTTTACCATTCACCATCTCGTCCGTTTCCCATTTTCTTCCCTTTGGCTCGTAAACATTGCTATTCTCACGATCACTAAAGTACATCTTACCAGCCATCACCACACATTCCCACCTCCACATTTTAGCCTCAGTCTCAACCTTTATCGTCTCAGGCTCCCATGTTTGTGTTTCTGTATTGAACACAGCCATCCTCGTATCCTTCGAGGTGATTTTCCCAATCACGTAGATTCTCCCGTCGATGATGTCAGCCATCCTAACCTCCATGAGCACAGGCATGCTCGGGAGGGGTTGCGCTGTGTGAGATATACAGTCGATGACTAATGATGTCGTATTGTTGAACACATATATCTTTGAGCTCATCGCGACGTAGCAACCAGAGTCATGCATAGAGGGCAGTGAGGGGATAAGGATAAATCGGTGATTTCCGTTGGCTTTCCGGCGGAGGATATACAGTTGGTGATCACCACTATCCTCGTTAGTGAGGACAACGTAGAGACAGTGTTCAGTGCATCCCAATAAGGATCGTCTCGCGTATATCTCACGGGACGCAACGAGTGACCGGAAGTGCTTTGAAACGAGGGAGAGTGTTGGATAGTTGCATCTTGGTACACGCGCTAATATGTCAATGATGACGTCTTCGGGAAGTGACGACGGTGGTTCCGACGATTGCTCTTTCTCTGCCCTAAGTTTTTTGGCAGACATTGTGTTATAGACAGACTTTGTGGCGCAAATCCCTAATTCATCCTTTATATTTATATTGTCAGCACAAGTTAAATTGTGCAATCAAATAGCGACATGTGGCAAGTCTTCCAAAATCAGAACAAAAATTAAAGGAAAAATGTAAATAAATAAATAAACATTAGTAAGAAATAAAGAAAAATATAATTAAAGCTCAACGCCTCAACCTAACAAATTCATAATTGGTTGGTATAACTTCGATCAAGAACGAGGTACCGTATGAGTCTATGAGATTCCGATTTTATTTATACCTAGGACTAGAATGATTTGTCTTTCATTTTTTGGAGGTGGTCTTGGCTCGTGAGGATATTAGCTCTGGACTGGTGTCATTGCATAATTTGCGAGTTTGATTACTGGACTGGTGAGAGTCTTTAAGTCTCGTTTGTTAATTTCAAGGCATATTATGAGCAAATGATGAAGATAACTTTCTCTTCCAAACCCAGTTGGCATGTGTTTTGAGATGAGATCAGGAAACATTTTCTCATTCTTTCTAGCATCTCCCCGGTATTGAAGTTGGACACGCTTGAATACAAGCAGGTACATTTCTTTTTTATGTTCTACTCTTGAACAATATGAAGGTTTATTAGCCTGAAAGTCAAATCGTAATCATGGTTTCTTTAACTGAAAGTCTGAAACCACCAATGATTTTTTTGTTTTTCTGTTTCTTATGGCAGGATGTCACAGTGTTTTGGAGGCAGGAGCACAAAACTGCCTGAAATGGTATTTGATCCCTAATTTTCTTCTACGTAGTGCAAATTTATTGTATGGTTGTTTATCTCACCAATTAATTTAACTCGATCCAATCTTACAGGAGTAACTACGACTTCCTGTAAACCATAAAGCTCATAATATAATTTGCTTGAAATCAAGGTGTCTTTTCTTATACATGTGCTTCAATTCAACTGAGTCAAAAGGGAAACTATACTTCTTTTCGTTTTTCTGATTGACATGAAGATTTGGTCCAATCTGTTGTAGCAGAGGCTGAAAAACTTTGCTGAAGAACTACAGATGGAGGAGCAGCCACTGGGAAGAGAATTGGTATAAGTAAGGGTATTGATAAATCGAGCCCTGAATTCACATTTCAGCCACAGACTGTGGAGGCAATTGTTAACAAGGTTTGATGAATTTCGCAAACCAATCTTGTTCTATATCTCACATGTTGAGTTTTGTGATTTATAAATGAAATGCGATCAATGTGGAAGCTTCCTGATGGCGGAATGTAAATAACAACAAACAAACAATAGTCTCGTGAAAGCTCTCTCTTATCATTTATTCTTTTGGCTTTGGTTTTCTTTCGAAATGATATTTTGGTTTGTACTTTTATTAGACATTATAAGTTGACAAGTATCATTTCTTAAAGCAGATTGAGAATATCGATCGATGCCATAATTTTGATACACCGAAGCAACATAAACAAAAGGAAGCCAAAACCCTCACAATCATTGGAAGAGATAAAACGAGAATTTCAAATAAAATATATTGAGTTATAGAGATCGCAACTCAGAAATTTATATAATCGTCTTGATTTCTCCTATTGAATTTCTGCTAATCAAGAAACAAGAATAGTTTCTAGTCTGAATTTCCTTTTTCTCCTCAATCTTCTTCCATATCCAATAACTCTCTCTTTCTCTTTGAATCAAACCATAACAGCTATACTTCTCTTAATTAGAACACTCTCCGCAATCTCAACCTCATCACACCACTCAACTTTACCCCAAATCTCCCTTTGTTGGTTTCTTTCCAACGAAATCTCCGCAAAATGAGTCACTCCAACGTGTTTTACTTCAGAATCGAACAAAATAAGTTTCCCACCGTAACTCACAGTCTTCCACCACCCATCAACTCTCTTCTTAGCCAACAGTTTTTCAACACCATTCACCACTCTCCAACACTTCTTCTCTGAGTCATAAGCTCTTAACTTGTTCTCCACGTAATCGTGATAGTACAAAACGTCATCAACCACACAAGCATTCTCCCACTCTTTAGCACTCACCATCTCTTCCGTTTCCCATTTACTTCCTTGTGGCTCGTAAACAATTGTATTCTCATGATTCGTAAAGTACATCTTATCAGCCATCACCAGACATTCACACGTACAGATGTCAGCCTCAGGGTCAATATGTATCGTCTCAGGCTCCCATGTTTGTGTTTCTGTATTGAACACAACCATCACGTTCTTGTCAGTATACCCAATCACGTAGATTCTCCCGTCGATGATGTCAGCCATCTTAACCTCCATGACCACAGGCATGCTCGGGAGGGGTTGCGCTGTGTGAGATATACAGTCGATGATTAACCCACTTGATGATGTCGTCACACTGTTGAACACATATATCTTCGAGCCCATCGCGACGTAGCTACCATATTGAGGCATAGAAGGCAGTGAAGGGATGAGGAACAAGCCTTGATTTCCGTTTGCTTTCCGGCGGAGGATATACAACTGGCCATCACGGTTGTTCCTGTTACAGAGGATAACATAGACACAGTTTTCCATAAAGCCTAACAAGGATCGTCTCGCGTATATCTCACGCGACGCAAAGAGAGACCGGAAATGTTTTGAAACGAGGGAGAGTGTTGGATAGTTGCATCTCGGTACACGCGCTAAGATGTCAACGATGACATCTTCGGGAAGTGATGTAGTCACACACGGCGGTGGTTCTTTCTCTGCCATAACTTTGGAAGACATGTGTATAGACAGACGTTAGGGCGCAAAACCCTAATTCATCCTTTATATCGTAAGCACAAGTTAAATGTGCAATCAAATAGCGACAAGTGGCAAGTCATACAAAATCAGAACAAAAATTAAAAGAAAAATATAAATAAATATATATTATTAAAAATGAGTTAAATACATCCATATAATACATTAAGAAATGACAAATAATTTGAAAGAGTAGTAGTAATAAATTTATAAAAAATAATCAAATAAGATAAAGAGAGTAAAGAAATTAAGACATTAGGGCCTTGTTTAAACGCTGCGGTTGCGGTTGCGGAAATTTGCGGTTGCGGGAGTTTGTGGAAGCGGGAATTTGCGATTAAAAACGTAATTAAGCTGTTTGTACGACTGGTATAGCAATTCATAGCTGTTGCGTTTGCGGGATGGTTTTGACTGGTTGGCTAGCGGGTGCAAAAGCATTTTAACCAAAAATTACTAAAATAAACATAATATATCATTAGTGGTTCTTGGAAAAATACTCTATTTATGTTTGAATATTTGAAAAATAGCCTAACTTTGTTCTGTTTTGAAAAATATATTTTTTTGTATATAAAAAAACTGTTTTAACTTTATTTTAGCAAAACATTACTAAATAATTATTAATTAAAAAAAATTCGTAAATATTATGACGAATGATATTATTTTATTTTTGTTCAGTTATTTAAAAATTAGAATTCGTAAATTGATAAATGTAAAGAAAATTTTATATAAACAACTTTAATATCACACATAAACCATAATATAAAGCCACAAAAATAAGAATACAAAATGTTTTAGCAGATAATTAGGATTAAAAATGTTTATTAGTTTAAAACGAAAAACATCAAAATCAAATTATGATCCTTTGTTTTTATTATTTAAATTTATTTTTTTATTAATTAAATTTTGATTTAATTAAATTATTCAGAAATTTCAAATTTGAATAATTATCCTAATTTGAAATTTCCAAATTTGATTTTCAGCCATATAGAGCGGTACAGAGTGGTATAGAGTGGTTCAAAGCGGTTGTTGTGATTGTTTGCGAGTGTAGCGGGATAACCAATCATCACCATAGTTTTTAACGCCGTGACGCACTTTATAGATCAGAGATGCTCTCAACGGAGCAACAAGAGAAAACACTCAAGCACCAAGCTTTCTCTCTCAACACACCTACAATGTGTGTATAGTAAGAAGTTACAAATCTGAAGAACAAAATTTACTGAGGAAAAAAATTGACTTCACACAAGTTCAGACAATCAACATCAGTAACTTCTATACGTGTTTCATTCTTGGTGTGTAAATCCTATGGAGATCAAAGATTGTCTTGCAAAATTTACTCGGTAAGCCAAAGACATTTTAAAAAAAAAAAAGTTACAAAACAACATCAATGATCTAAAAACTTGTCTTGTTCATTGCAACAAAATATGTGAAAGTAATTTACCAGGTTAGTCTTTCATCAGGCAATTAAACAATTAGCGGCTCGGGGATTCACCTCCTTAAAATTAAAGCAATAATAAGACATTCACTTATTCTTTGAGATAAGTTTTAGACTCCAACTATGAAGCAAAAAATCAATCACTCTAAGATTTTGTTTGGACAAATGCAGATATTCAACAGTATATATAATCAAAATAGGTAAAAGAAATAGCAATAGATTGATACAGAAAACCAAACAAAACGGCTCAAGAATCAGTGCACACAAAAATAATTACCCAACAAGAAAAAATGCACCCTTTCAAGGACAGCTAAAAGCAGTGAAAAGCACCTAAAATCTTTGCCTCAATGTCCTTCTCTGCAATTTGTTCATCATTTATTTCCTTCACATGTGAGAGAAGTCTTCGCACAATATACTTAGAACACTCAACTTTTTCATCAAGGGAGGCTAAGGTCTAGAAAACTTACAAAAAAAAAGAAAACAAAAAAAAAACTTTGAGGTCAGCACTAAGCCTCTACATAGTATTGGAGTAATCATCATCATGCTCTGAAATTCATATAAATTACAAAATGATTAACAAGAGTACCTAGACGTAAGCACATTCTGCAATTGCAAGTATCTTGTTCTGTTTTACAATAGAAGAAATTCAAAAAGCTAAACCTTTTGCACAAAACAATACGAATGAAACCATACCAAGTAAGAGTTCCAAAAAAGAAAATTTGAACCATACCAAAGAGACACTTTTTAGCCCACAGAAAAAAAAAAAAAAAAAAAAAAAAAGAACATCACTTTGTGACACCCATAAAACCAATGGACGACCATAACAGAGGTCGTTAAGCATGGGATGCAAGAACAACAACTGCAATTCTGTCATAAAAAAACACGCCCCTTGTCGTTCTGTTGACATTGGACGCACATAATCGTACAAATCATATAAAAAAAAGGAAAAAGTGGCTTGACCAGGTCGAATGTAAAGCTATGAGTAAAAAAAATTTACAGAGGGCTTTGTAACTGAAGCTTGAGCATCGATTTCAACTTTCTCAGTCATGGGTGATGGGACAAAACGTAATAAGTTTGTATTAATTTTTTGGTTTTTTTTCCTAATTACAGTTAACAAAACGTAAATTTTGAATAATTATACATTAGTCTAATTTTACGAATCACAATTATCAATTTCAATATCTATTAGTATGTTTTATTTTGTAGTCAAATGAAATATTAAATATTTCTCCATTTTATACGATTTTAATCTCCACACAAAAAAAACAAAGATAACAAAAAAAAAGAGCTTTATCTCTACGGTTGTCGTCACTTCCTCTCCGACGGAAGAAAGCTAACCACCGCTTGGTTTCGAAAAATCACAAAACACACACAGATTCGCGACTGTGCACGTCCACACAAACGCACACGAGCTTTAATCTCGTGGAAGAAGAAGAACATGGTCAGGATCATTCCCATGGCGGCGTCCTCCATCCGACCTTCCTTAGTCTGCCTCTCCGCCGCATCTCCTCGCTTCCCCGCTTCCCTCCTCTCCTCTCGGAATCTCTCTTACTCCCGTAAACACACTCCAGCTTCGCAATATCTCAATCAATCGTTGACTAAACTGAATTTGAGAATCAAAATCAATCGTTGTTCATTCAATTACTGGAATCGTAGAACTAGGGTTCCGTTTTATGCTTCCAATCGATGATTTGGTTATTCAATTTGTTTCCTCCAGATGTTGTTGTTCCTCAATCAAAGCTCCTCTGTGGTGTAAACACTCATAACCTGTTGAGAAGAGGTGTCAAGTGTTTAGGAGTAGCTGAATCTGGAAATGCAGCTCAAGCGAGCACATCGTCTACTACTCAAGAAGACGATCTTCTCAAGTTTGTGAAAGACGACAACAGAAGAATGCTTCACGTTGTTTATCGTGTTGGTGATTTGGACCGCACCATTAAGTACATAAAAGCTTCAACTTTTTCTTCTTGTGATTATGATGATATCTAAAGTTTTTATCATTCAGGATTTAACTGAATTTTTGGCTGCAGATTCTACACTGAATGTCTTGGAATGAAGCTTCTACGCAAGCGTGATATACCTGAAGAGAAGTATACAAATGCTTTCCTTGGTTATGGACCTGAAGATTCACATTTCGTCATCGAGCTCACTTACAGTAAGTCGTCTCTGAATCACTAGCTTCAATAAGCTCAAGAATATGCTTCTTGTATGTTAAAGATGGTTTGTGTTTTCTTCAGATTATGGAGTTGATAAGTATGACATTGGAGCTGGTTTTGGCCACTTTGGTATTGCTGTAGACGATGTGAGCCTTCTTGATTTATGTTTCTGCCTTTCTACTTAAATCTTTGCACTTTCTTTCTTCTAAGAAGTTGACTTTCTTGCTGAAAAGGTGGGGAAGACTGTGGAGCTTATAAAAGCCAAAGGAGGGAAAGTAACAAGAGAGCCTGGTCCTGTCAAAGGTGGTAAAACTGTGATTGCGTTCATTGAAGATCCTGATGGTTACAAATTTGAGCTCTTGGAAAGAGGTCCTACACCAGAGCCTTTCTGCCAAGTTATGCTCCGTGTTGGTGATCTCGACAGGTCCATAAAGTTCTATGAGAAGGTAAAGTCCAATGAAAATTGTTTTGACTTGTGAGAGATTATAGTCTGAATACGAATGCATTGTAATCCTCTGTTTATATGTTGTTGCTTTCTTTAAAGGCTTTTGGAATGGAACTTCTGCGCACAAGAGACAATCCAGAGTACAAGGTAACTTGCAATGCGTCACAAATATAATTCTCACGGTTTGATTTGGTTTCTTTTTGTATAAATTCGCTTAAGCGTATGTGGTTATCTTTCAGTACACAATAGCTATGATGGGATATGGTCCTGAAGATAAATCTGCAGTACTAGAGCTGACGTATAACTACGGTGTCACTGAATATGACAAAGGAAATGCTTATGCTCAGGTAAGAAGAACATTGACATTGACATTCTCTGTTGGAGCGTAGCCATAGTTTTAACTTGTGTGTACAATGTACATTGCAGATTGCGATAGGGACGGATGATGTGTACAAAACCGCAGAGGCTGTGAAACTCTTTGGAGGAAAGATCACCAGAGAGCCTGGTCCTTTACCAGGTTTAAGCACGAAGATCACCGCGTGTTTGGATCCCGATGGTTGGAAGTCGGTAAGTTCTTGGTTGTTGAATGAGATTCATTTTGATGGAAAGAGCTTTTTGAGTTGCTGATTTTTGGGGTTTGTGCAGGTATTTGTGGACAACATTGATTTTCTCAAAGAGCTGGAGTGAGAGGAGAAAGGAGAAAGGAGGCAACCAAAATGGCTTGTTGCATAGCTATGAAAGGATACAAGAGGAGGATGGGCTTTGTTGTTTTACATCACAGTTGGGTTTTGATTTTTGTTCAAAGTGGATGATTTTGGTTTTCAAAATCTAGTGTAGTTTGTTTTACTTTACATGATATATTTATTACCCAATGTTGGCGTTCTTGTATATCAGTTCCACTTACCATTATTGCCAATAAATAAGTGAATGATTGGTAAGAAAAATTGAGATATTCATCACATACTGTCTCTTTGGGGACATGGTAAAGGTACTATAAACCGTTTTATAAGACAGTATGCAAGAAACTGTTTGTGTTTGTTTCTTTATTGGTCAAAGCTTATTCGTTTAAAGCTAGCAAAAATTGTCATCAATCCACATTCTATAGTCATGTTAGATAGGACATTGGTAGTCAAAGAAAAGTGAAGCAAAATCAAGAAAGTAATATAATAACCTTAAGATAGAGAATTTGAATTTAACATTTTATCCCAAAAACAATAATAAAAAAAAGACTATATATTAAGGGTTTTGTGCAAAACAACCCTCAACTAAATTCATTTTGCAAATCAAACCCTCAATTTAAAGTTTGCAAATCAAACCCTCAATTTAAAGTTGTGCAAATCAAACCTCTGAAGTCAAAATAACCCCGCAATATAAGACATCTCTATATTTGTGACAAAATTTAAAATGATTTTATGCAAAACAACTCGCGAACTATTTTTTGTGTGCAAATCTAACCTTCAACTTAAAAAATATGCAAGTCAAACCTGCAAAGTCGAAAGTCACTGCTAAAATGAACTTATATGTATTTGTCCATAACTACAAACGTTGACTCAAAACGTCATGACATTTATAATATTTTAACAATTTTTATTAAAAATACTTAAAACAATAATTCAATATTTCTTCTCTTTTTTCTCCATCAATAAGGAGAGGGTTAGGATTTTTAACCAAATCCAAAAAAACTAAACCGTAGCCAATCCAGAAAATCAAAACCGAACCAACTTACTCACAATATAGTTACTTGGAAGATCTGAAGTCCTATGTCTTTATGAGCCTCTCTCGAATAATTCTATTGCAAGTAAATTAGTTCTTATCTTTGTCTCTTCGTCGTCATTAGTTAATGAGATCATGAAGAAAAGAATCAACTTATTCGCGATAAGATTACTCGAGATAAATTTATTAATAAGAGGAGAAAGAGAAAGGAAATTAAAGATTAAAGTTTTTTGTTTTTGTTTTTTTTTAATTTACTTTTAATAAAAATGGTTAAAATATTATTAATGTCATGACGTTTTGAGTCAACGTTTGTAGTTAAGGACAAATACATATAAGTCCATTTTAGCAGTGACTTTCGATTTTGCAGGTTTGACTTGCATATTTTTAAGTTGAGGGTTAGATTTGCACATAAAAAATAGTTTGCGGGTTGTTTTGCATAAAATCATTTTAAATTTGTCACAAATATAGAGATGTCTTATATTGCGGGGTTATTTTGACTTCAGAGGTTTGATTTGCACAACTTTAAATTGAGGGTTTGATTTGCAAAATGAATTTAGTTTGAGGGTTGTTTTGCACAAAACCCATATATTAACCGAAATTACATTGATTAAAGTAAGAACATGTATCACAAATAATTAGATTCCCCCTCCAACAACTCGTTACGACTCAAATCATTTAAAATAATTTTTAAAAAATCATCTTACGAGAAATGTAATGTCCATTGTCCACCATTGAAGAGGCAAAGGGGCATGCCCTTCACGAGATTATCACATGTCGACCGGTCTTCATCCGTACATTACATGTTTTACATTAAACTACAGGCTGTGTAACACTTGTTTATTTTCTCATCAATTAATTAAATTTGTTTATTTTATCCAAACTTAGATTACTAATAAATTACACAGACCCTACAATAAGATGAACAAGTAAAGGGACAAGAAAGCTTCCGATTATTTTGTCTGGATTCGAGGGTTCGAGGTAATGCGATAAGTTGAATGGCATTGTGTCCAATTTATCATATAATTGGGGGATTTTATGTCCCTACATATATATATATATATATATATAGTTCAAGTTCATACAATTATATTCTAGTGCTGCCACCTCAGCAAAATAGGTATCTCTAAATTCAGCATATCAATTTATTTATTACATTTTTTTCTATTTTAATTTTTATAATAATTATCATTTATTACTATAATAACTTAATAAGAATATGAAAAGTCATTTTAAAAAGAAAATGTTATGTATAGATCTGAAAAACTATTATTTTAGTAATAATAATAATAGTAATAATAATAGTAATAATAATAATAATAAAAAGATATTATAGAAAGAACATTTTTTTTTTTAGTATTTTGGAATGAAATAAGACGAGATTGAACATGACGGGATGAAAAAAATAAAACAGGAGAACAGAATAGGACAAGACATAAATTCCGCCTACCTCTAAATATAATAATTATATTAAAGGACGGAATGGAAAAAAAAACAAAAAAAAATATGATGAGAGAGGACAAGACATAAAGGTTAAAAGGGATAGAACAAAAAGAAATAGAATGTGGCGAAATTGGACGAAACGAGATGAAAATAGACATAATGAGATGGAAAAGGACGTGACAGGAAGTTTGTCTAACCCTAATTATATATATTTAGAGACGAGACAGAGACAGGACAAGACAGAGACGAGACAGAGACAAGAACATAATACGATATGATGGGATTGGATGGGGCGGACATAACGAATGGAACGGGAAAGAACATGATAAGATGAAAAGGAATAGCATTGAACAGAATTATGCCAAATTGTAATTATATTTAGGGAATGAGACGAGAAAAAACGAAATGGGAATAACAAAATGGAACAGGATAAGACTGAATGGGACGGGACATACAGAACGGACGGGACGGAAAAGAACGTACATGATGAAAATGAACAAAATGGGGATGGAACAAGGCAGTACAAAATTTTTGTCTAACTTTAATTATATTTAAGTAATATATGTATAATATATTTGAAAAAATATTAAATTTGTAGAAAAATAATAAAACTAACACAAACCCGCGAGACGCGTGTCACCCCCTAGTTTTTAATAAATGAGAAGTTTTGCATCTCAAAACGTTTTTCATATATACTAAAACGAAATTTACCTGCGCTAGAAAGAAATATTTTTTTCTTAAATTGTTCCGGCTATTTTAGATCATAAAAGCTCACAGTTGAGAAAAGGAATAGCATGTAACGGTGGATCACATCACGAAATTACTGAGATTCACAAAAGATAACCTAAACTGACTTTATATTGTGAAACACCAGCCATCCTGCAAGTTGCAACAAAGGAGCGTATGAGATTACGAAGATAAAATTAATGAAAAAGTATTATGTATATATAACTTTCATAAAACTATATCCTAATGGAATATTTCGTAAACAAATACCTTAACACCAACAGAATGGTTCTATCTCTTCATAGTTTTCTAGTTTTTCAGAAAATATTCCATCTTGTACGTGACTTAAGCTAACTCAAATAGTATAAAACCATAAAAGTTGTATTAGGCAGTTTTCTTTTAATTATGGAGCAAAGATTACAAAAGAATTTAACCAAGCCCATGCATATTGACATTCGTGGTGTATTTATCAAAATTATATTTTGAATGAATTGAGTTTAATAATTTTTTAGATAATTTTGAATGATTATGGAGAAATTATTATGATTTGCTATAAAATTCTTCTGAAATATCATATCACATAAACCATAAAAATTAGATTTTGTTTTCAACTAAATATTTTTTTTTTAAATATATTGAAGTCATTAAAAGTAAACGTTGAAACTATTTTTAATAATACTATATATGAATGTACCTTTTTCAAATATCTAGTTTAGTAAGCTTGAATATTAAGAGAGCTTTTATTAAAATCAGAACTAATTCCACTTGATTTTCTGATTGAATGATATAGAATTTGTCATAACGCAAATTGTTCCATATGCTTGATTGAATACATTCCCTAAATTAAATAATTAATTAGGTAATTTGCTTATAAATAACACAGAATAATTATTTGACTAGAAGTCTCTATCATTATCAAATTAGCGACGGCAAGCCGGTTAATGAGTTGAAAACAACAAGAAAAAGTACAATAAGTTACTTTTAAAATTAAGAAATGTCCACTAATTAATCAGCAATGTGCCAAGGTTTAGTGAAAGATAATAATAACATTGAGGATCTTTGGTAATCTTCTTGGGCGGCTTCGTGTGCAAACTAATCACGTGCATCGAACCTAGCTAATCTATTTCTAGATGACTGTTACACATTCTTATACCCAACGTGAGTGTCTAAATCACCACCAGAGGGGGGTATTTTATTACAAAAAGTAAAGTCATTAGCATCATAGCATGACTTAATTTATTTCTTAGTATCAGTTAGAACTTAGAACTGATGCAAACAAGTTTTATATCCCTTAGACACAACTGATTTTGAAAGTTATGATGCAAATACTTTGTGTCGATTTAAGCAATTAATCAAATATTTTTACTGATCACTGTTACTCGATATAATTGATATTAGTATTTGTTCCGGTAATACCATATGTTATTTGATATTTCTGTCAGTTCTTTTAAATGTAACGTAATTTTTTATGATTGTTCTAACAATTGCATCTCTTGATTTAAGCTGTCTTTCATCTCCAAAACCTAGGTATTCTATGTAATCTGAAGTAATATCTCATATGTTGTTGAATATATTAAATATATATAAAAGCTTCAGACTTGACTGGATTGTAAATTTATTTTTGTCAAGTAAATCTAACCAAAGTGTATTCAGATCTTTTGGTTAGTTGGTTTGACGAAGGTTAGATCTAACACACGATGACAAGGACAGCTTCTAAAGTATCAAACAAGAGAAAAGAACACAATGCGCGTGGGGTTGCTTAGATTCCTTTGTAATCTTGCTACTTCTTAGAAATGTTGACATGGCAT